AAAGACACTGCCACAAGGCAGGGAAGGAGTCCTTGGCCTCCCCCAGGGCAGCCAGAACACCAAGTGGTGCCAGGCTTTGTTTACTGGCCGCTCGGCAGGGTGAACTCTGGGGTTTTCAAGATAGGTAGTTGCTGCCTGGGGTCACAAATGACTAAGACCAGTTTGAATGTAGGTGAGAAGTGAACTTCTGGGTATTCTCAGTGACAGGGACATAAAAGATTTAAGCATGCGTGGGGACCAAAACCTGGTGGTTTGGAGGGAAGTATCCAGAAGATAATTTGAGTTAGACAGATGCAACAGCTCAATTATGAATACGGAGATGAAATATTAGTATAGAACATCACTGATTGCCACACACTAGCCCACACCAAAGCTATGGATGGGGTCCTCTTTGGCAGTGTTAGGTACCATTACCCAACTGAGTGGTGGAGTTGTGGAGTGGTCGCATTTGGCAGGATCAAGACACTATCCAGCACGCAAGAGAACTTGGTCTGGGGGTAGACTGTGTGGGGTTGTGTGGGCCCAACCCTTTGGAATACAAGTCCCCCTGGTTAGCTTGCAAGCTGGGGTTGCAATGGTCTAAGCTAGGTGTGACCATGCCAGCTGCCATCACTCATGGGTAAAGGAACCCGCAACAGTCAGGGTAGGTCAAGGCAGCAGCACCCAAATGTGCATCTTTAAACAGGATGTGGGGTGGGCCGGGCTGCTACTGCAAGGGAGCAGAATGGGCAGGGCTGAACAAACCTTAACTCACAAGAAACAACAGAAATCAGGTTGGAGCACAGCTCATGCCATGTAGGTCCTTGCACATACTGATCTGCGTGAGGCAGAGGCACTAAGCCACAGCATCCAAGGGGCCAGGACAAGTGAGGGGCTCTGCCAAGCAGAGACAGAAAAACCACCTGCCTGCACCTGATCTGTGGCTGGGAATAGGCCTGGTTAGGGAAATAACAGGACACCCTAGCGGGGTTGAGTTTTCCAGCAAGGAGTGCATGGGCTGGAACTGAGGCTGCATTCTGATCAGGATACGATTGTAATCTCACTCGGCATAAGTGTGGACTGGGACTGGAAGCACCAAGCCAGGCCAGATCTTAACACCATCTGATGCTCTGGAGGACTGGGGAGAGATGTGTGACAGACTAGGCTAGGTCTCAGCCCTTACTGAATCATGTGTGAGCTGTGTGAGGGTATGGAAGAGCCATGGCTAGGTTGAAATATCCAACAAGAACCAGCTTGGGTCGAAGGCCAGTCAGGAAAAACCACTGTTCCTCCTAGGACAGGAGGTGAACTGAGTAGTGCTGGCTCATGGACCCACTGGTATGCACAAAAACTGGCATTGGGAGAGGTTCTGATGGAGGAACCTGGGCAACTCCTCTGGCAGGACACAGTCCCCTGCAGGTAAGCGCAAGAAGCACAAAAGGGAACAACCCAGAACAGGCAATAGAAATTATCCCACTGGCATACACATGGCATGTGTTGGGGACAGACCAGGCTGAACCTATTCACATTACCTACTGGTGAATCTGAGCACCAGAACAGAGTGTGAGTCAAGCCAGGTTCGGTTGCAACACATACCAGTACACAACAAGTAATGCCAAGGTGAGATGAGCTGTACCAGATGTGGTTGCAGCGCCCAAATAGCACATGTGACAATCGGGGAGGAGGCAAAGCTGACAGGGGAACGTGGGGTCCCCTGCTGGATAACTACTTCCATTGGAAAGTGTGAATGGGATGGGGGAAGTTCAGACTAGACAGGGCTATACCACCTGTGGGCCTCACGGTGAGCTGTTCCGACTGATGCCAGTAAAAATTAGAGTGGGTTGAGGGGTGTTTGGGCTTAGCCACAGCATTAGCTGGCAGAGGCTGGTACTGGGAGCTAATTCTGTCAAGTCAAATGCCAGAACCACCTGGAGACTGCATAATCTGGAAGTGGGTATGGCCTTATGTAGGGTAATAGTGGGTACCTCCCTCAGGGTTACCACCCCCACTGGACAGCATGAAAACCAGGATAGGGGCAGGGGTGGCTAGATAGAAAGGCACCTGCCAGTAGGTGTATGGGCTGGATAATAGGTTGGTTGGGTTGAACTAGGCTTCAGTGTCCATTGACGTGTGCGAGAGCTAAATGGGATGTGGGACAGACTAGGCAAGCCTGCGGTACATACTGGCAAGCATGGGAACCAGGGTAGGGGGCAGAACTGGTAGGGGTTTTGGGGAGTTGCCCCAACTAGCCTGCAGCTCCAACTGGTTTGCATGAAGACGGAGTATGAAGTGGGTAGGATTGAGCTGGACTACAACACCCATTGGCTCACGAGGAAGACAGGGCTGAAAACCGAAGGGACCCAGCAATCGCAATGACCAGCATGTGCATAAGCTGATTGGTGTGACGAATGGTGTTGGAGTCTGTGCTAGCAAACTCACGCAAGAATCAGATCTGGGATCGTCTCAGATGAAGTTTCTTTGGATATCCCTCCAATTGAACTGCTGATCTTGGAACCCCAACCATCAAGAGACTGTCAGCCAGTGGACTCTGAATAGGTTTCATTGCGGTTGGGGCGGTGAGATTGGTAGCAATCCAGAACTGATGAAGTATTAAAACTGTTTGGGCAGGACCCTTGGAGCGCGCCTTATGTTGGGGATCTGGGATGGGTGGGAGGTTGGGTGGGGCTTTTCCCTTTGTTACTCCCCTAACCCCAGATACAGGGCAAAATGATTATATTAGTGTGGAAACAATGATATTACCCACTTTCATCCCTTGACCCTTTGTACCCTAATCAACTAAGATTATTAAAATTAAAAAAATAAATAAAAAAGAAAGAGATTATTGACAATAGTTAAAAAAGAGGGAAATCAAATGCAGTTATAGCTGAAAATGCAAAAAAAAAAAAAAAAACCCTGATAGGATAAAATAGGCCATATCCATGAGGATAGAAAATAAAGCTATTTCCTATATAACATAGATGGGAAGTGGCGGACGTGATGGAGATGAGAGTCAGGTAGGGCGGCTGTAAGACTGAGCACTCTTCCCCACCCTGCTACCTCCTGCCCACTCCCACTGGCTTAGAGAGGCTGGTTGGTTCAAGAGGAAACTTTCATCTTCAGTGCAAGTTTTCAGAAAAAGGAAAAAGATATTTGCTGTTAATGATGCAGTTCTCAGACGCTCACTAGAGGGTGGTGTTGTTTCTGAAACAAGAGGTCTCCAGCAAAGTACATTCATTATTACTGTGTTTATGTTTAAAGGAAACGTAAAGTCAAACCTTCTCAGACTTCCCTAGAAGTTGGCACATGTCAAATCTCAAGGCTTCCAAGTGCCCGATCCAGTTTTGGTTGGTTATATCCCCAGAGAAGCCAGATAAAGCAGTGGAGAGATTGCTGGATTTGCTGGGTGGCAGACTCTAATTTCAGCTTTTGCACTCACCAGGAGACAAGATCTCAGGGCTTTCTGTATAAAAACAAAAGGGCAGCTTAGATGATCCTCCAATCACTGGGCAGCTGTAACACGCACAGATTCTGATGAGGCTCTGAATCTAAGAGGCTGACAAATTGCTCATGCTCATGGCCAGACTAAGGGACACAGTCTTAAATTACCAACAATTGAAACACATTTAATGTTATGTGAAATGTAATATAGAGTCTATCAAAAGGCTTTCTAAATTGAAATGTCAAGTCTTCCGTCCTGCCAGAGAACCTTACAGCCATCTTTTGCACCTGAGCATCCTGTGGTTAATTTCAGTGGTTGAATCTCTCTACTTTTGGGCACTAGCTTACTGGAAATAATTAAAATATGTTTACATGGGATTAGAGAAGAGAGGTTTCAACATCGTTAATAAGGATGTTTTAGGATAGGAACTAAACCCTCCTCTCCTCACTCCACCTTCCATGGATCTGATCCAGTCAGGTCTGTGCTTTGTTGGAAGTCCCTTGTCTCCAGAGGGACTATGTTGGTTCTGTTTCCTTTTATCCTGCTTTTGTCTCTCTCCTTTTCATTGTCCTCCATATTCACATATTCATATCGCAGAGCGAACTTTCATGGAACCTGATTTGTGAAATGGAACTGCAGGGTCCAAGGAAACCGCTCTGGTTCATCCCTGCATGGGCTTGCCTTCTAAGGATTGGCGTGTAGTTAACCCCCGAACGTACGAAGCTTCACTCATGTGGCGCCCCGCGCGAGCTGACACCAGTACTCCACACCCCCTTTCCTCCAAATCCGCTTTGTCTTGCAGAGAAAGGTTCCCTTCTCCCGCTGCCCACTCCTCCCGGATTTTGTAGCCTTTTCTGGCTCCCTTGGAGGTCTGAACTTCCTAAAATACTCGGGGGCGCCTGCGGGGGCGCACCGGCCTGCGCGCGGCGCGGGGCCGACTCCAAGCGGCGAGCGCGTCCCATTCTTGGCGCTGCGGCACACCCCTCCGCAGTGAGGATTGGTCGCGCCGGACCCCCTCGGCGAGGCGAGGCTCCTGAGAGGCCCACTCGCCTGCCAATCCCCACGGGCTGTCAAAACAAGTCTCCCTCCCTGTCACAACACAGCGGAGTGCAGGCCGCCGCCGGGCTTCCTGGAGCGGCCGCGCTGCGGTCAGCGGGCAGGTGGCGAGTGCACCCGCCCGAGGCCCCCGGCTCCGGTCCTTTCAGGTCTCCGTGCGCCCCGGCTCCGGAGGCCGCTTGGCCCGGAGCCCGGTACCTTTTGTCTGGCGCAGAGCGGGCGTTTACATCACGTTTCGGATACCCTCCCTCTGCTTGTCGCCCTTCGGCTCCTTCCCGCTCTCATTTACCCTCCTCCCCGCCCCCTCCACCCGTCGTCGTCCCTCTCCCGACTTCGGGTCTCCGGTACCCAGCCTGAGGACGTCTCTGCCGAGCAATGTCTCGTCTCTGGAAAGTTGCCGCCGTCGGTCGGTGAAACAAAGTCTGGCGGGCCCGCCTGGCCGGGGCAGGAGCGCACCCGTGCCCAGTCGCTGGACTCTGCTGCCGGGCGTGCTGTGTTGTCTCGGGGTCCCGAAGCAAGACCGGCTATGGCTGAGGGCGCGGCCAGCAGGGAGGGTCTGGCGCCTCCGGACGCCGCTGGGAGCGAAGACGACCCCCGAGCCGGTCCGGACACCGGTTGTGGAGACGCCTTGGCGGTGGCTGCTGGGGGCCGCCTGAGAGACCGTCGTAGCGGGGTTACACTGCAGGGCGCCGCGGGCGCCCCAGCCGACAGCGAGGCCGGACTCCTGGAGGCGGCACGGGCCACCCCTCGGCGGAGCAGCATCATCAAGGTAAGGGGAGCTGGCCCGCAGCAGGAGCGCCTAGAGCGCCGGGAGCGCCAGGAGCACCGGGAGCATAGTGAGGGTGGAGGGAGGATCGGGACTGAGCAGGACGCGTGATATCCCGAGTCTATGCAAGAGCTGCATTGTTTCCTCACACCTCCTTTACTGCCAAACCCTTCTTCCTCGTCCGGAGCTTTCCAGGCTCTGCCATTGGCCTTGAGAAGCAGAAGTGACTTATATCCCCAGGCAGCGGAGAAAAAGTTCCGCTCTGCGTGTTTGCGGTTTGATGGATGCGTTCACGTATTTTCTCTGCAGGCTTCACTCAGCCACAGAGAGGACTAGGGCAGGGAGGACTCAGGGTAAATGCAGACCCTCGGGATGGGTGTGCACTGCGCTCCTGCGAAGGCTTGGTGTTTCCTACACAGCAAAGGAAAAGCAAGCGCCTATTCTCTAGGGGGAAAAATCCCCTTCAGACGCGAATGGTTCTGAGATTCTGAGGAGTGAACCTGCGCTGTGTGCAGGCAGTTTTCAGTGGATTCTGAGAGTCCAGAGTTTTTGCCTAGCAGGAAGCACAACCAAAAAGCAGGCGAACCTCCGGGTTTCGTCCTTGATCCCTGTAGTTACTGCCACAGCCCAGGGAACATGCTTCCCGACCCTCCTCACCTGATCACCTTACAGCGCAATCTCCACCCATTTCAGCGGCGATTTGTACACTCATTTCTTCTTCCCCCTTGAGGCTTGTCAGAGATCCGGTCTTTTTGGACTATGATTTTGGATGAAAAACCCTTATACAGGCTGTGTGAGCAAGGGCCTTGGCATGTTTGAGAATGAATGTGCATGTGAATTTAAAATCGACTTTGATCACAGTAAGAGACTATAGATACATGTATGTAATGTATATATAATGTATAGGTATATAATGTGAGTGCACACACACACACATTTTGGTGAAAGATGCACTTAAAACTGCTTACTATGCAATTTGCTGGGCGCACCAACCCATTCAGAACCACTTAGGTGTAAGCAGTGTAATCACTCCACAGTGCACGTGTGTTTCACAAGGTGCCAGTGTAGGATGCAACGCGGTCTACCCACCTAGTTCCAAGTGTGGCCCCGGTTCCCTCCCACCCCCAGCACTCACACATGGGATTGAAAACCAGCAGGGAGATTTCTGCATTATAATCAGAGTGGGTGGTAATTGCAAATGATTTGTAGTAGTTTCTGTTATTCTGTGGCTTTTTGGTTATGTTAAAGGGAGTGTTCTACTCTGAGTGTGAATTTGATTAAAAGGGGAATTAGCACTTTAAAAAAAAACCCCACAAGTGAGAAAGCATACTGTTTTGAAACTCCAAAAAAATTGCAACTAGGAAATATAGATGTTTTGGCTTCCAATGTACTGATACTACTTGTGATCTTGTGTGTGTGAAAATAGGCACTGCAAAATGATTTAAAATAGGAGATTGCTTTAGGAAGTTCATGTAAAATAGATTAAAAGCTAAATTGATTTTCATGTAAAAATGTTTGAACTCCAGGCATAGTTTTCATAGTATTGTAATACATTTCCATGAATGTTTTGAAGACCTCTTCATATACACTTAGGATTATAAAAAGCCATGAGCACTATCATGTGAAAATAATGAAATCTAAGGAATATACTGATTTTAGTAATGAAGCATGTCACTTTTAGATGATACTGTGATGGTTTATGTTCCTGAAGTGCTGTTTTAATATAAGGTGCCTCTTGCTTTGAAGCTATAGAAGCAGGGAGACAATGGAGTATCAGCTTGATCTTTCCCCTGTTGATTAGTGAGTAGACATTTCATAAATGGTCTTTCAAACTTAAGATAATGGCAAATGAGTTTACATATTAAGTTAGACTTTATTGCCAAAGTGATAACTGCATGCTTTTTTTAAAAGGTCAGATCTTACATAAGAGTAGGAAGACTCAGTCGCTCTGTACCCCGCTGATGTGGCCCACACTCATTTACATCTTTCCCCCCAAACAACCCATGCATATGTAAGTGTATGTATTTATACATTTCTGTGAGCTGGTGAAGCTCTTGACTTACACAATAACATCTGGCTAGAGTTTCATAGGCCCTTACACCTTGGTATTTGAATCGGTTTTGGGATTCCTGGAGTGTTAAGGGCATTGTCATGAGCAAACTAATCTTTAAGACGAGCATGCCATGTCTTTGGTAGAGAACTATTTTGCCTTCATTTCCTTTCAAGGTGAAGCAAGGCAGGTGGACTCCATTCTGTTTCCTTTCTGGGCTCAGGAACCTGTTAGCATTTTGAGTCTGCTGCCCCATTGTTTGTTCATTTTAGCATGGTAAAAATGAGCTTCTAAAAAAGGTTTAAATCAAATGAGAAATGGATAACACATGTTCTATAGTGGGAGAAAATGCAGTCTTCATAATTTTTGCCAAGAGTTCTTTTTTATTTGACATTGAAACACAAAAAAAGGGGTTAGTGCATTTTGTATTGAAAACTATTAAATGTTTTTCTAAACAGCCATAGTACAGGAGTAATTGATATTCATGATCATAACTGAGTCACTGAAAGGTTGTGAACCATCAAATAATTAATTCTTTTCAATTCAATTTAGGAAATTGTTTCTATTCTAATTATTTTAGGGCTGCTTCTCTATTAACTTGAGTTTTACATAAATCAAAATAGTGTATTCCTCTGGCCTGCCAGAAAACAGACTGTCTTCTATATTAATAAAGTGAATGTTTTCGGTAACTTTTCCCTCACCTCATTTGTGAACATGTGTCTAGTTTGGAAAAATACTTCTTTCTGGACTAGAGAAAACACTGAATAAATATGTGTAAACATTTTTGGGAAGTCTTTTTTTCTACTACCATTGTATTTTTTTCCCATTACATGCCGAGTCCAAGGTGTGAGAAGTTACACTGGATTCTCTTTAATCTGTATAATTTCCTCCATGTTTTTCTATGTGATTGTTTCCAGAAGCATTGACATTATAAGTGCTGTGTATTTTTGTATGTGAATTGTTATTTATCACAATAATGTATTTAAAACCATCATAATTTTTTCCTGCTACCTTTTGACTCAAAGCGATGTGAGGTTCATGCAGAATCAATATCCAACAGTTATCTACTAACCTGCATTTGAATATATTTCTACTGAAGACATTAGACCATTGATCAAGGACTTGATTCCAAACTTAAACTACTTTAGTATTGCAGATTTTAGTTTGAGTTTCATAACTCCATAATGTCCTGGACGTAGGAAGCAGTGTAACTTTTCCCCTATACCTAGATGGTGGAAACTGAGATATCTAGATGGCTTGAAAGTAGATTTTTCTTTCATTATAGGTAACATACTGATGGCTCTGTTTTCCTCCATTTCCTTTAGATTTTTCTAAGTGCAAGTTCTCTAGACAAGTAAGAATAAATGTGGAAACTTGTATCTTATGGACATGGATTTGTGGGATGAAGGTAGAGTTGGGAATGAGGTGCTAAGACCTTTGGTGTTGTTCATATTTCATTACTGTATATCATGTCCATACTCACAGTCATGTTGCTTGTGGGACTGGGATGGTAAGTTTCAAAGTGCAGCCTCAGAGATGTGCCTTGAGTACTAGCTGACTCAAATAAACATTTTGACTGTCCCCAGATAGGCAGGGGGAGTGGAATTCACATTACATAGTGCCTAATGTGAGTCAGGTCCTAAACTAAGAGCCTTTATACAGTTCATGTACAATCTTCACAGCAAACCCATTAAGGTAGGGAAAAGAAGCACAGAGAGCTATAGATGAAATGTGGAGTCAGGGTTCAAAGCATGTCTGCTTAGCTCCAGAGCTTGTGCTCTTATGTTGGCTTTCAGATGCAGGAAGGTCAAAATCCATGAACACTTTTTACCATGTCAGTTTCTGATGTGACAGAATTTCAGAAAAATATGAAGGTTGGGTTTTAGGATGTATGGGGGTCAATTGTTTTTCTACTTTCTTAACCTCTTCTTCAAAGTATCCAAAGTATCTGTGACCACTGTTTTTAGGCCTGCGCTGTATGTTAAGAAGTGGAGGAATGTGGCAGGTGCCACATCTGTTACTGTATACAAGCCCACTCCTCCTAAACCCCTGCAGACAGTAGGGTTTGTGGATGATTACATTCTCTCCGACTGATAAACAGAGAACAGACACCTAGGTTATGGGAATACATATGAATGAGAAAACAGGAGTATCTTCACTTGAAGCTTTGAAACTTCTTCGTGGAGATAGTTATAAAGGAAAAATTCATACGGTTGAAAAATTATGTAAAGAATACACTATGAGTTATGTAGGTTTTTGTAGGATAAATTTATCAACACTTACAGACTTTTTCATTCCTCCTCATTTGTTATTTGAAAGGCAGAGAAGGAGAGAGAGAGGGAGGGAGAGAAAGAGAAATGAAGAAAAAAATCTGTTTGCCCACTTTCTAAATGGCTGCCATAGCTAGGGCTAGGTCAGAGCCTGGAGTTCTGTCTGGATCTCCATGTGAATGAGAAAGGCCCAGCATCTGGGTCATTTGCTGCTGCTTTGCTAGGCATGTTAACTGGAACAGCCAGCACTTGAACTGGCTCTCATGGGATGCTGGAATTGTAGGTAGTGGCTTAATTTGTTGTACCACAATGTTGGTTTTCACTTCCTTCTTAACTAATATGTGTTGAAAGTTCATAGAAAACAACCCGTGGACAGATTCTGGAAAAACAACCTGACTGTATAGCAGAGCTGGCTGGGTTTTACTCTAAGGCCGAGTGTGTCCCCATGGCTGAGGTTGGGTTCTCCTCCAGGGATGACGATTCGACTGTGTCAGTGGCATTGGACCTCGTAGGTGGATTTGGTTTATTATCCCAGCAACCTCAGTTGGATGCTTATTTTTTCCAATATTTCAACAGAAACATGATCATATTTCACTTTTGAAGTGTTTGCTTCACATTGTAGTGCTTTTATGATGCAATTTCCTACCGAGCCTCTCAAGGTTAACTTTAGGTGAAGAGCCTTT